TCATGGTGAAGTAAACAGAGAAAAATGAGTCCTGGCCGCATTAGATTGTCTATATCTGCAAGTTTTAATTACTTCTATGCACAAAAATCCAGAAACTACTGAAAACATGAAGACCTAAAAGGTCAAAGACATATGATCCAACATATTATTTTTTACAGCTGTGAACAAAAGCAGCAGCAATTACGTAGGCATCCTTCAGTCTCAAGAGACTATGGTAATGTAGTAGATAAAGCAGTTAAAGCAGTAGATACCAGTTCTTAAAATGCATAAAGACTGAACTTAAGGTATAAATACTTACAAGTCAGACAAATATATATCTCAATTAAACATTTTTAGCTAGGAAGGTTACAGACAAGAAGTTCTATCTTATCTCAATACAAAAATACAAACGCTTATAGCAGTAAAAAGCACATTTGTGGTGAACAAGAAAGAAGGAACAAAATTGATATATCGGTCATTTGAGGAAAAACGAATTCGAGCAGGCTGCTGCATGTTCTGAAGACCAGGCCCTTCTTCTAGGACAGGGGTCAGGGAACTTTTTTACCTTTTACCCCTCCCCCCCAAAATTTATATATGCCAACATTACCTCCTTGATTTGAAAGGAAGGAAATCATACATTATTTGAATTCAAAATCTTATTGAATCTATTCAAAATTACTTTGAAAGCTTCAACATGCTTGAAAACTTCAGGTTTTGGAGAAATGATGTTGCTTCATCTTGGATATGAGAGCATCAGTATTGGGGCTCTGCTCATCCTCATTACCCCCAGGATTTTCATTTTTACCCCATTTGGGGTAATTTACCCCTGTTCCCTGACCACTGGTCTAGGAGTCATAAAAAAGGGCATTGGGGTACATGTATTGTTCATGAGCTGCTTGATTCCCACCCCCATGACCTCATTTCATGTTCATATTGTGTATCACTTTTAAATGATCTAAGGAAGGTATTGCCCAATCTCTGAATTTTTGCCTAAGTAGATCAATGTCTACTTTCTTTCAGGGTCAAACAAGATGATATGTTTAATATACAATTAGAGGCAGTGTTCCAACAAGTGATGAAAGATGTCTGGTTATCATAGCATGTGCTTTTCCTCACTTGTGTATTATGCATTCCAGTGATATTTGATTTGTGATTGATTACTGGAAGGCAAACACACAGACATATTGTGCAAGTGTGTTGCTGAGGTAAATGTCTGTGAGAAAATTCAACTATTAGAGGGGCATCCATCCATCCACCCACCCATCCACCATCCATTTCCTCCCTCCCTCCATTTTCTCCCTCCATTTTCTCCAATTACATACATTTAAATAAGCTTGATGAAATCCTTGGTCTCTCGCACCTTTCTTCCCTTGCTTTCTCCTTGCTCCTTTCCCTCCTGCTGCTTGTTTGCAGTCATTTCCAGAGGAAGCAGTTATTCAGAACTCCCGGAATGATTGATTGATGGCCTGGGGCTAATCCACAGCTGCAACCAAGCTTTCTCCTTGCTCCTTTCCCTCCTGCTGCTTGTTTGCAGTCATTTCCAGAGGAAGCAGTTATTCAGAACTCCCGGAATGATTGATTGATGGCCTGGGGCTAATCCACAGCTGCAACCAATCAAGGAGCTTATCTCTGATCTCTGAACTAATGGAGGATTTACAAGTGCCTGCTGCAATCAGGAAGTAACAGGGAGAGGTGGCTTACAATTTGAGATTTGGCTGCAGAGGGTGGGGGGTGGGAGGGAGGGGTGTAGCACTCTGCTCATTACCCCCAGGATTTTCACTTTTACCCCATTTGGGTTAATTTACCCCTGTTCCCTGACCTATGTTCTAGGAAAACAGATTCCCTGCATCTAAGCAAAGGGCTCTCAGGGATTTGCAAATTTACAGTTTTGCTGCTCAGACAAGGTAGGCTGGAAAATGTAGACAGGCTCAGTCCCAAGGTCTGAACTGGTCAACTGCCAGATGGTATCTGATGGGCCAGAGGCCTCCTTCTCCTCAACGAGGGAGAACGCAGAGCCGATAAGGCCGAGGGAGGTTGCCGGTGCTGCTCAGGAGAGGGGAGATGTCGATGTCCTTGGGGTCCTGGAGGGGCTTCAGTTTGAAGTGCTGCAGGATGGTGACCAAGAAGAGGAAAAGCTCCATGCGGGCGAGGCCCTCCCCTGCGCAGATCCGTTTACCTGCAAGGGAAAGAAAGGTGGGAAGGTAAGCAAGAAGAGAGTCTTCCTCAACAGCTGGGGTAGGGGGGAACCTCACAACAAGGTCAAGGGGAATGTGGCCTTCCAGGAACACCTCCTCAGAACATTATCTGCAGCCTCAATTCTGGTCATTGTGGTGGGGAAGAGCAAGGCAGGGTAGGAGAGGTGAAACCCAGACTGTGGGCTTGCTTTCCTTCATTTTCACTCAACGAGGAGCTAAATTTCAGGCTGATGTGACTAGCAGAAAGGGCTGATAGTTGAAAAAGATGCAAGCACCCAATCCACTGCTTTGAGACCTTAAAGGGCTCTAAGAAGAAGATGCTACTGTCCCTCTCTTTGGAATGAGACACCTCACCTCCAAGCAAGATGGAGCACTTCCCTCAAGCTCTCCACCCTTTAGAAACACACACACAAAGAGAGAGGGAGAGAGAGACCAGAAGGAATGGCTTAAACAAGAAGGTTTAAACACTCTCTGATGCTCAACATCCTTAAAAGCCAACATGAGGAAGCAGCCACCACCCTCATTTGGTGT